CGGGCCAGGGCTGTGGCTCGGGGCCCTGTGGCGGCGATCCGGGCGGCCTCTTCCTCCACCCGCCGTCCTCCTTTGCCTTCTCTGGACGTGCGGGACGGCCAGGTGCTCCCCTGATCCTCGGCCTCGCGTCTGGTTTCTGTCCCTGCTCTTCAGACCTGCTCAGCAGCTTCTTTCCAGCTCCTCCCCCCCCCCTTTCCCCCTAATATTGCTCTTGCCGTGGGGCTCCACACCTGTGTCCCCACTCATGACCCCTTGCCTCCACACAATCTTTCTTTGTCCTCTTTAAGGCCTTTGTTTCTCTAGGGTTTTTCCCCGTCCTAGACTTCTTTTACTATAACCTCAACCTCTTGTAAGACTTCGGAGATCTCGAAAGGTAGTCACCTTTGAACCCACTCTTCTCAGTTATTGCCTCCGGGAGTGTAGGTCTCTCAGTCTGTCCCCAACACACCCCTTCACTTTTCTTTTAGTCTTTCAACCCGCTGTTAATATTATAATCTTTTTTGTCTTTTTTCATGTCCGGCAACAGACCACAACCCTCAGTGTCGCTCCCGCACCGGACCGGGACCGGCAACGGGATCGCAACCCTTGGCGCTGTGCCCGCCCCTCGCTCAGCCCTTTTTTGTCTTTTTTCATGTCCGGCAACGGACCACAACCCTCAGTGTCGCTCCCGCACCGGACCGGGACCGGCAACGGGATCGCAACCCTCGGCGCTGTGCCCGCCCCTCGCTCAGCCAGTGAGCGGGAACTGGTCCGTATGTGGGATCCGAACCCTCGGCGGGAGCGCCACCGCGCTTCCCAAGCAGCGCACTTTAGCAGTGCGCCACCGGGCCAGCCCTGTTTGTTTGATTTTTAACAACTGCTGTGTGCCAGGCACTAGGTTGGGTACATTAAGTAAGTGATCTCACTCACTCAGAAAATTCTGAAGCAGAAATTGGTTGTCAGAGTAGCATAGATTGGAAAACTTAGGCTCAAATAGGTAATGAGAGTTAGATCTTGGATTCAAAGTCTGGTATTTGTCTCTCAACATCTCGTCCTCCTGTGTTCAGTGGGTAGAACAGACTGACTGATGTTCTCCTGTTTGCAGGTCCTCTCAGTACAGCATGGTGGCCGGGGCAGGCAGAGAGAATGGTATGGAGACTCCTATGCATGAGAACCCGGAGTGGGAGAAGGCCCGCCAGGCCTTGGCTAGCATCAGCAAAGCAGGAGCCGCCAGCAGCTCCACTAAGGCCAGCAGCAATGGGCCTGTGGCCAGTGCACAAGTGAGAAGGCCATGGGGCCTGGGTACACTGAGTGGGGGGTTGCTGTGGGAGAGACACAACTTGGTGTCTTTACATATCACTAGGATGGGATACTCTGAAGGGGAACATGAAAAAATGTTCTAGGGCATCTAAATCTGATGAAGGAAGAAAGTCTATTTTCTATTTCCCAGGGTGTGATGTGTCCCTGAACAGGGAGGCCATGCTCCTTGTCCCTCAGGTGCATAAGTCTGATGGTGGAGACAGATGTCTCTTTGCAGAGACATAGATTCAGTTTCACGCCTTCGTAGTTAGCCACCAGTAAAGAGGCCTGCCCTTTTGGGGGCTGTGGTGCCCGTGAGCTCCTGCTGCCAACACTGATGATGCATGGGCCTCTCTGTTTCCATAGTATGTGTCACAGGCAGAAGCCTCGGCTTTGCAGCAGCAGCAGTACTACCAGTGGTACCAGCAGTACAACTATGCCTACCCCTACAGCTACTATTATCCCATGGTGAGTGTCCAGCCAGCTGGCAGGGGTGAAGTGGTGGAGGGGGAGGCAGTTAGGATGGGTTGAGGGGTAGTTGATGGATTGGAGATGACAGCGACAGCTGTTCAAAAACCTTCTCCTAGCTGATTGCCCACAAGGTAAATGGCAAGGTCTTCTGTGGCCCACAAGGTCCTACATATCTTGTTATGGTCCCTTCGCCTCTTCTCGTTCCACCATTGCCACGGAAATATCCTTGACATCAGCACATGCCAAGTCCACTCAAGCTTTGCTCTGCTGCAGCTTTCTCCTTCTCTGTGACCCCCCCTTGTGGAGGCTTCTGCTCGTGCTACCTTGAGAAAGCCTCTCCTAAAAAACTTAAAGTAGCATTCCCGCTTCTCAGCCTGTCCCTCTATTCCTTTTGTTTGCCTTATTTTCTTTCATAGTGCTTATTGCTGGACATGTTACATATTTATATCTATAACTGTGCATATATTTTGAGCACATGCTTCATAAAAGCATGGGGTTTTGCCTTTTTTTCTTGTCCTATTATACTGCTTAAAAAAATTGGCACTCAGTAAGTATTTGTTAAATAGAGAAATTCATCTGACAGCTAGCTTAAGTGGGATGTGGGATTGATAAAGGTTTTTTTGTTTTGTCTTGTTTTTTTAACTATATGAGCGAATCTGGTGCATTTATACAGTGGTTTTACATTTATAAAGTGCATTTACAAAGAAAAAAAGAGTGGGGGGTCAGTTAGAGAGTCATGGATTGTGTGTAATGGTTCCTGACCAGGCAGGAGAATAGGGAAGGACAGGTCTGCCACTAACCCCTTCCTTCCTGTGCCTTTGGCAGAGCATGTACCAGAGCTACGGCTCCCCCTCCCAGTATGGGATAACCAACTCCTATGGCTCAGCTACACCCCAGCAGCCATCGGCACCCCAGCACCAGGGGACTCTGAACCAGGTAATGCCTCAGGCCACCTACCATGTAATGCTCAAGCAGGGGAATCTAGTTTTTTTGAGTGGGCTAGCAATGAGGAATCGCCTGCACTATTTTAGTTGTTTTTTTTCCCCTTTTTTTCTTTTTGCCAAGCAACTCCTGATATGAGAATGAGGAGGACAAAGCATAGTTTTTGAAACTAGTTTGGGTTTAGGGCTTGGGTAAGGCCAGGGACTGAGGTGTTAGGAAGATGGTGGGAGTTATTCGTAGCGTGGCGCCTTGTCTTCTGTTTTCCCCCAGCATGTGCATGTACATGCATGCGCACACACACGCACACACACGCACATTCACATTCTGGCTTTGCATTTAAAGTGCAGCTTGGAGGAATGGTGGAGCTAGTGCACAGGAGACAGACTGGGGTTTGAGTCCCAGCTCACCCACCCCCAGTGTAATTACTTACGAGTCACATTGCCTCTGCATGTCAGTCAGCTCTTTAAAGTGGGAAGGTTGGTAACCTCATTGTACAGTTCCCATGAGTGTTTGTAATTGTGTGTGTCTTGACATGCTCAGATGATAACCCCACTGGAGTGGGTGTACTGCCAGGTGGCTATTACTACAATTGGAGTCAGACTCCAGTGTTGAAATGCTGGCAGCTACCACTTAACAGCTGGGGTCCTGGGAAAGTTGCTCAGTCTCTCTGAGCCTGAGTCTTCTCAGCTGTGAACAGAGTTGTTAATAAAAATATGTAACTCAGAGATTTATTGAGGATTCAGAATGATAACATGTGGGAAGGTCCGTGCAGAGTTGAGAGCTGAGTGCTGAGTAGTGTGAGAGTCAGACCCAGAACTCTGCCTCCCACACTCAGCACCTGCTTCCTCCTGCAGCCCCCAGTCCCCGGCATGGATGACAGCATGTCTTACCAGGCTCCCCCTCAGCAGCTGCCAGCAGCCCAACCCCCTCAGCCCTCAAACCCCCCACATGGGGCTCATGGTCTGAGCAGTGGTCCGCAGCCAGGGACAACTCAGGCCGCACAGCACAGCCAGGCGGGGCCTGCCTCGAGTCAGGCCTATGGGCCACACACCTACACAGAGCCTGCCAAGCCCAAGAAGGGCCAACAGCTATGGAACCGCATGAAGCGTAAGTTGGTCAGGCTGCCTGGAGGCCAGAGCGGTTGGGGGTAGAACCCTTATAGAGTTCCTAGGTGCAAGGCACGTAGGGCACACTGGTCCTTATTTCTCGTGGTATTATGGTCCCAAGGCTTGGGGTGGGGACCCTCTGGAACTGGCATGTTGGTGCTGGAGCCCTTCTCTAGAGTTTGGCTTTGCCCTTGAAGCTTTCCTTCTGTATTCCCTAGAAATCCCCAGTCTGCCTGAAGTATGGCCTAATTTTAGCTTTTAATGCCTTCACAGCAGCCCCAGGGACTGGCGGTCTCAAGTTCAACATACAGAAACGGCCTTTTGCTGTCACCAACCAGAGCTTTGGCTCCAACGCAGAGGGCCAGCACAGCAGCTTTGGGGCCCAGCCCAACCCTGAGAAAGCCCAGAGTCACAGGTGACATCTGCTCCCTCGCCCTTTCCCAACCCCCACACTGTACACTCAGTGTCTGTGTTCTAGATCTACTGGCAAGTGCGTCCGCCCCCCCCCCGCCCCCCATGCCCAAGCCTGTTTGCAGCTCCAAAAATGGGAGAAGGATCCCTTCCTTGGGGGTTGCTGTGAGCACTAAATGAGGTGGAGAAAAAAAAAAAAACCAAAACATTTTAATTACATCTGGTTCATGTCAATTGAAAGATAGATAGTGATGGCAATCTTTGCTTGGTTTTGGGGTTCTCCTTAACTGAGTTTCCTCATCTCTCCTCCTCACAGTGGGCCTTCTGCCCGGGGGAACTTGTCTGGGAAGCCTGATGATTGGCCCCAGGACATGAAGGAGTATGTGGAGCGATGTTTCACTGCCTGTGAGTCAGAGGAGGACAAGGACCGGACGGAGAAGCTTCTCAAGGAGGTTCTGCAGGCCCGGCTGCAGGACGGCTCCGCCTACACCATTGACTGGAGCCGGGAGCCTCTGCCAGGGTTAGTCTGGGCTGGGGGTGGGGGTG